GCCACTGCAGCGGAGATGGCACCAAACATTGCAGGAGCTGCAACGTACAGAACATTCGCGGCAGCCGTAGCGGACTTGTCAGAAGTAGCAGTACCAAGGAGGTCCAGGGTTGACCTCAATTCCGGCGTCGAAAAGGAGGAGTCGGAGCAGCGTAGTCGGAAGGGGCTGCTACGTCATCAAAAATACGAGTTGGGTGGATATGAGGCTTGATCCAACGTAGGGAGATGGGTGCAGCAGATCTTGGCCGCCGTGAGGGTTGGTGGGAACGTGACGGAGATGCGTCTGCTGTGGTTTTCTAGTTGACACAGGCGCAGCATGTTGTAAGTCGCCCGTAGCTGTTATGGATCGCATATTCTACCACACATAAAAGGGGTCGGCGGACGGTTATTCGCTATGGGCCGAAAAATTAGCCTATTATGTGCCGCAGACTTAACACAATTGCCCTCAGCATGAAGTCTGGCACAGACTTTTAAATCTGCGAACGCCGTCAGAGCAGATGAGAGGTTCCACCGAATCAGAACCCAAAATTTGTGAAGTGTGTCCTGAGTGTAGCAAAAAAGGGATGAATCTCTTAACTAAAGGATACCTTTGCTGAATTTTGAAACTTTTGTTTAGCATACTGCAGATTTTTATGACATTTACTTAAAAAACTGACCATATCTAACTGCACGTGCCAGAGGAAGAAATAAAAAGACACCTGGGTGACCGGTGCACCCCGAAAGCGGATTATAGGTGCGAATTTTTTAAAGATTTAACGAATAAAGTAGTACTTCTATAATCTGCGAATCCACACTTACAACTTTGTTGGCTGGAGAGAATACGGTGTTCTGAAGAGGAATCTTTTTAAGTAAAGAAATTTTACGCGATTTATTATATTTAAAAAAACTCATCGCATTCAGTAACATTGGCTTCACGATCTTACATCAACCTTATTGCTGTGCCACATCACCTTTCTACGATAATAATCGCTGTTCTTTTGTAGTTTTCACTGCAGTTCCCTGTTTTATGAATTTTCTAACAAACAGTATATATTTTTGGATTTAAATTTCCAGAAATTAATATAGTTCTTACAATTAACTCTACATTTTTAAGCGAGTTAACAAAAAAACCAATGTCCTTCTGCCAATGCACATTGCGCTTGTTTGTTTATACCAATCTTCCTTGGTTTACTGTCACCCACTTCCCTTCGTTTTGGTGTTGGGTTTTTCTCACCTTGCCCACTGTGCGTTCTCAATATTTAGATAATGCTTTCTGTTGAGAAGGAAGCATGCTTAAGAGAAAGAAATCTTCTGCAAGACTTTTGTCCTGCACACGATTTATTCTTGAAGCCTGTGTGTAAAGTCAACATAGCCGTCCAGCTGCCAGGATTACAGTCCCAAGGCAAATCCTTGTCTACTTGGGAACTGGCCGATAAATTGCGCCAGCTATGCCCATCTTTGCTGTCTCCGCCCACCCAGTTAAAGGTTTTGAGAGCGACTGTTGAATTCGTAAGATTTGTTGTAGAACTTAGCACGAAGG